AGACGTAGTCCCAGGAGGGGTAGAAACCCTAAACCCTAAACCGTGAGCTGGCTGTGCCTGGAGAAGGTGCCTCCCACCGAGTCCCCCTGGTCCTCCAAGTCCCCATGCCTGAAAATTCGAAGTCAACGAAAGAAAGCTTGAAACCCTAAACTCTAAGGTTCTGAGGACACATATTATGAGGCTTTTGGGCTATTTTGAGCCTTAGGGTAAACCCTGAGCCCATACTTGAAGCCGGCTCTCCTCCTGTATTCTTAAAGCCTAAGCCGTGAAAGCCCGAGCCTAGCCCCCCCCCCCCCCCTGGGGAATCAGAGGATGTCGCAAACTGCGAGCATTCGGGGCTACAAAGCTCTAAGTTAGAAGCTGCCCCCACCATGTAATGGTGACTATAAGGATTATATTAGGGCCCTATTACATTCCTATTATACCACTATTACAGGGTGGGGGCCCCTTATAAGCTCTAAGTCTTAGCAATCAGCCATGGCCCCAAACCCAAATCTTCAAGCCTTAAATCCTAAGCCCTAAGCCCTAAAGCGTAGAACGCTGCAGCAATTCATCCCAAGCTCTCTTAGCCTTCGGTCCTAGATATCTTCGGTTCAATTCCTCCACCTTCACAGAAAGCCCGATATCCCGACACCCAGACCTCGGCTAAGCCCTAAACCCTGAGACCCAAACCCTAAACCCAAATCGTAAACCCTAATCCCGAAACCTTTACACCCCCTAAACCCCAAACCCTATACAGCCTTATTGGAGAACCCTTATATATCCCTTGAATGGAACCTAAACCCCTACATTTCTGCAGTTTCACGGCTTCCAGCTTAGAACCATGGTCTCTGCTCGATGACCGACTGCTTCCGGTTTAGGGCTACTACAGGGGTTATCAGGGTTTCAAGGTTTATGGTTTTAGGGTTCATTTAAAGGGATCTATAGGGTTCCTTTAAAGGGATCTGTAAACGAATCTAGAGGGTTTATCAGGGTTTCACGGTTTACGGTTTATGGTTTGGGGTTTAGGGGTTTGGAGTTTAGGGTTTAGGTTTACGGTTGAGGGTTTAGGGTTACCATTGGGGTACTACAAGGGTACCATAATCAGGGTACTATGAGGGTGGGATGACGGTACTTGAGAGTACTACAGGGTTGATTCAGGGTTTTGTCTAGGGTTTGGGGGTCTAGTGTATGAGGGCTTCACGAAGGACTTTGATGATGGTTGTGTACATCGTTGTGAGTTACAGGTGTTTTGTGTTGAGGGATTTGGACCGAGGCTTCAGAGTGTAAGAGGTTTATGCTTTTAGGGTCTAGGGCTTATGGCTTCTAGGGCTTATGGTTTCAGGGCTTTAGGGGGTTTCAGTCGCTCAGCCAATCGCGTTTAATTTTACACCTTGTGGGTTTGGGTTCAGGAGCATACGGGCAGGGGGAATCCCAACAAACTCGTCCGAAGACTAAGGCTACTTTGGGATTCGTTTAGTGTTGAGCGTACTGGCTGCCAATGGGTTGTGGCATATGAATTCGTGGGCCATTCGGTGTTGCAGGGCATCTTTAAGAAATAGCATCACAGCAGTTTGCGTTTAAGCTTCGCTGATGTTACCGGGTTTCTGGATCTGTTTCCGTATCCTCGTGCGGTTTCGGTGTATTGGAGTTATGTGGGACTGCTGAACAGACCAATCGCGATCTGCGGCCTTGACAATCGCCTCTACTAGCGATGTAATCTAGACTTACATAGGGCTTCAGGGTACTTTGACGGTTGGTCAAGAACCGTTTAGGTCTAGGACTATTACATGAAGCATATCACATCTTCGAACTTCCGAGACCCAGGACATAGAGTTTTCTATAGAAGGGGGGTGCAGGCATAGATTGGCAGTTTCTCTAAGCCCGCATGGTTGGTTAGGGTTTCAATGTATTTAGGGTTTAGTTTGAGCCGGAGACCAAAGGCATGATGCGTGACCCTGACACTCTACGATGCGTGCCTATTCATACATGTATGACGTATGTATGCATGTGTGCATGCACACATGCACGCATGCATGCATGCCTGGGTATATGTATATGTACGTGTATATGTGTAATATGTATATGTACATGTTTAATATTTATATGCATGTGTATATGTATATGTATACATCAAGCACTCCTCACATATGTTCAGAAATTTCGGGGTGTTTGTGGACATGATTTGATTTTGTAGGGGCTCGACGGATGCAGGATGAAAGATGTAGGTTTGGGTTTAGACAGAGGGGGTTGAGGGTTTACAGGTGTTCAATGGGGTTTGGATTTAGGACTGATGACGGGATTGAGTTTTCTAGACGTCGGCGACTTAGGCTTAGGGGTCGGAGAGGAACATTCAATCCCAAACCCTAAAGTCCTAAAGCCCCTACTATCGTATGATTATGTTGCGGTAGTGTTATAGAACCCGTATAGATCCCTTTAAGGAACCCTTAAGGATCTCTTTAGAGGTCGCGGGCAGCTGCCGTCGGATCTTAGCCCAAAGGGTCCTATGTACCGATATAGTAGAATGTAGGGTTTCCATATTAGGAAATACTATTATGACTTAGGGAACTATCCCCCATAACAGTACAAAGGACCCTTTGGGTAGGAGAGCTTTAGCTGCTGGCCTTTGCCAGCTGCCGGAATTGAAGGCAGAGCCTTCCAGCGCAGCCTGTTCAGACTTGAACTGAATAGGAACTTAGGGGTACTTAGAAATATCTTAATTTTTGGTTATTATAATCCTTAAGAAACAGCTAAAATTTAAAATTAACATTTTTGCTAGGATTCTAAGTTCAGTATGGCGAACCCTAAGGGTCCAAGTATCTAATTATCATAAACTCGCCATAGTAAACTACATACCTACTATCCGAAAACCGAGTACCTAATTATTGGGTCCTTTGGACCCTCAGGGGGAACCCCTGGAAGTCCGACAGTGTCAGGGGATTTAGACGAGAAGTTAGGGAGAGCCCCCAAAACCCCTTAAAATTAAGGAATATAACTTAAATCACATTAGGGCTCCCATTATAGTTTAAGGTATGTTCCTTAATTAAGGGGTTTTGGAGTCTCTGGGTAGACTCTGGCACTGATGTTTTTTAGGCTCTAATAGTCTAAGGTTCAGGTTTCTAGACATCTTTTCTGCTTAGCGAATACAACCGGCACCAGTATCAATCTGAAGGAGGCAGAGAGAGAGAGAGAGAGAGAGAGATATATATATATATATATATAAAGAACAAAAGGAAGCAGAGAGGGAGAGAAGAGAGAGACAGAGAGAGAGCGCGAGAGCGAGAGCGAAAGGAACAGAGCGAGCGACGAAGGGAAGGAGGGAGAGAGAGCCGTCACCGGGCCCAATCGCAGAGAGCGGTGGCCACTCTCAAAAACCGCACGAATACCCGCAGAGTAAAAGGCAATAGCTCTGAATGTCGATGTGGTAGAAGTATCAAGTGTTCGACAACCAACATTAACAGTACAGTAAGCCGGGTAATTACATTCACGCAGCAGCAGTGTTTCTGTCGAGCCCGAAGCTCTATATCTTGCACCCTACACTCTGATCAACGAGCTCATTACCCCTGAAGGGTGCTAAGTCTCATAATCTGGGGGGTGCTTACCCACGGCATCGTAGCAATGCCGACTATAGAAACCTTACTCGCTACTGTTTGTGTAGGTACTTCTGTTGATGGTATAAATCCCGCATTACCTTAAGGACCCTAAACAATGGGAATTATGGTATATTCTTTATTAAGGACCCTAAACTATGGGAATTATGGTATATTCCTTATTATGGGTAATGCAGGATTTCTATCATCAACCGTTATGACTTATGACCCTTTGGGTGCTCAGACTGGCTTGCGGAGTAGTGTAGGAACCTGATTAAGAAACCCTGGTCCTATAACCCCAAAATAGTAGGCTTCATATAAGGAGCCCTCATAAAGGCCAACGGTTTCTTAATCACGTTCCTACCCCTAAACCCATTATAGTACCCTTCTAGATCCCTTGAAGTCTCAAATTAACTCTGCAGGAACCCGTTGAAAGGAACATTAAGCATCCCTTACTGAAAGGATCATGGGACTTAGTAACTATAGGGATATATTTAGGGTAACTATACTTATAACTCAGGCTCGCGCTGGAGGGTGCGAGTTTCTTCTCCCGATTCAGATTGGCACGTCTCCGGAGCCAGACCCATGGGGTTTATGTTAAAGGGAACTCCAGAAAGTTGGAATATGGATTAATGGTAGGATCCCCTATATTATACCTTCAAGGGGTTACGATAATGATATTCCAACTTTCTGGCTTCCACTGTAGGTTTAGGGAAGAGGGTTTAGGGCCCAGGTCTCGGATTTAAGTCGGGCTTAAGTTACCTAAACCCTCAAAGTAGGTAAAAGAATGGCCCAATACCCATAAAAAGGCTATTATTCTGCATAATTTTGGGGTGGAGGTAAGGGTTTAGGATTAGGGAAGAGGGTTTGGGGTTTAGGGCCCAGGTCTAGTGTTTAGGGTTTAGGGTCCCAGGCCCAGGATCTAGGGTTTAGAGTTTAGGATTTGCAGCCTAGAGCAACAACACCAGGCAGGCTTTCGGAACAGAGGTCACGGGCCCTACGAAGCATAATGCCCATAGTTTAAGCTGCGTCTACCTCACGCACGTGCAGTGAAGCGATAGCCCTAAACCCGGAAATCCAAGCTACCCCTCTCCCAAGAAACGGGAACACATCCAAACTCCCAACACAAAACCCAACAGCTTATCTCCGAAAGCCTCAGTTACACCTGCAAAAAACACAAAACATTAATAATATAGGGCTCAATGATTACCTGTACTATTTTGGGAGCTCCTTCTTGCAATTGTAGTACCAACTGCCCCAAAACCCGGTTCCAATCATTAAGGCCCCTACATCAACCCCGTAAGCTAAAACAGCATATACCTCCAAACCAAAAGCCAAAACCCTAGACCCTAAAGCCAAAGCTCTGGCTACGGAGTCGTGCCGAGAGTTGAACCCCATGGCGTGGCCGTTGGCCTAGCGCCGACTTCGGCGATGGAGGAGCACTGCCCAAGTAGCTCTGATGGGCGCCTACTGAAAGGATCATGGGACTTAGTAACTAGGGATATAATCAGGGTAACTATACTTATAGCTACTTATAAACCCAATTAAGGTACATATAACCTTACTTACTAAGTCCCATGATCCTCCAAGTAGTATACAGATGTATAGTGAAGGCCAACTCCGGATTTGATTAGGTCAGTACTCAAGGGCCGCAGCAACGATCAGGCTGCATCTTGTCAGGTTGCTTTGGTTTCAACGGTTTCTGCAGTCTGATATAGGTGTCGGAATAACTAATTAACCATGCTATTTAGGGTTCCGTAATGTAGCTGCACCATGATGCACCCCAGAACCGTAAACCCAATTGATTCATGCCTCCACATTAGTGGTTTCAGGGTTGTGTATTTGATCCTCTGCGTGAAATGTGAAAGTGTACGACAGCAGGATGCCGAAGTCCTCGCTGCCGATGGGGAGGGGGGAGGGGGGGACCAAGGCAGAAGCCGTAGCAGAGCGAGAAGTCGATGCCCACGGCGTCACCGAGGAGGTTCATGGATGAACGCTGCACCACAACCAGCGCAGCACAAGACGCGATGACCAACATGGAGAAGAAGGTGAACGAAGGGGCCCACGAGAAGGCCGCTGCCGAAGCAACATCGCCGTTGAAGAAGGCAACCGCAGCTGCACACCCAAGGGAGTTCCCGAAGGAAGGCCGCTCGTCATAGAGCGGTGGTCTCTGGCAGAGTCGAGCATCACAAAAATTGCTTCAGACAGGCAGCGGCAAGGCTGCCGTACCAAACGAATTAAGACCAGCGGATTAATCCGCCGACCGCCATCCACCATCCACCGTCGCGCCCGAAAGAGCGAGAGGTAACAAAACCAGGGCACAATGCCACCAAAATGACGGCTAGCCACACACTCGGCTGTTGAATCGCCCGGTGGCCTCAAACGTCGTCAGCGACACGAGTGTCTCCCTATCAACACCTGCATGGGAAGTGCGTAACGGCCTAGGTGGGGCCGGGCAATCACGGCAGAGCCGCGGGAAGCATGCCAAAACCTCCTCCCAAATAGAAACTGGCCCGCCGTAGGCGCTGTCCTCACGACCTTGGTTAGACCGGCGCCCGCTAGCTCGCCCGTAGGCTGCCTGCAAGCGCGCCCCGGCGCTGGCCACCGCAACACCAAGCGCTCACGACCCGGGGGCGGCCGTCGCCCGACGAGCAGAGCTCGAGCCGAGCTCCCTGATGAGCAGGCCACCACAACACCCACTCTCCGATGCAGGTGACACCGTCCGGAGTAATTTCTGCCAGGTTGTTTCCCGCCGCTGCTCCATGCAACGGCCCCTCCCCGGAGAGGGTTTGATCCTCTGCGTCCCCGCTTACCCGGCTTTGGGGAGAGGCCTTAAGGCGAAGGCACCTTAGGGTTTAGGGTTTAGGGTTAAGGAGTGTTGCCTTGATCCCGGTGTTCCCCCCAAACCCTGCAAACCCTCAAGCCAACTCTGATCAACTCTAATTATGATTCGAGTTGGAGCTTCGGTTCTACTTCAAGGATCATGGGACTTAGTAACTATAGGGTTATAAGTACCATACTTGGGGTTATAAGCAGATATAAGTACAATTTCCTTAATTATAACCCTAACTACTAGGTCCCATGATCCTGTAAGTAGAGAGAAACAGCTTGCAAGGAGGCGTCGACATCGCCGCACGCGCAGACCGTTTACGATGAGAGCCTGGGCGCGACAGTTAGTGCTGGCCCCCAATCCCCAAAGTCATAAAAAGCCCTAAACCCCAAAGACCTACAACCCCAAACCCCAAAACCCTGAAGGAACCCTTGAAGGAACATTCCAGAGGATTCTGCGCAGAGGGGAGAACTGCATCAGAGCAGGGACAGGGAGAAAAGGCCATCTCCAATCCTCGAGTATGGTACTTTTGCTGATGGACAAAATCCTGCATCACCCATTATAAGGAATATACCATAGTTCCCATAGTTTAGAGTCCTTAGGGTCATGCAGGATTTTGTCCATCAACAGTTTAGTTAAAGATCACCGCAAGGATAACAAGTACACTAATTACTAAGAAACAGCTGCAACCATACCTCTGTATTACACACTGCCCCCTTCCGTAAGCTGCTTCCTGCTCAGCAGCAATGCGCAGCATGGGAGGTTCGGGGAGATGAAGAAGGCGAGAGATCGAAAACCCGTGCCAGATTGCAGGCACTAACATAGGGGTCTACATGATTACCTATACTATTTTTGAGGTTCCTTATTATAATTACGTATGGTATAATGGGTCCCAAGACCCTATTCTAATTAGTAAGGCCCCTATACTAAATCCTTGTAATAGCCCGTATAGTAGCCCTTCTAGATTTGTTTAAAGGACATCTATCCTAATTGTTACGGGGCCCATGTTACACTACAGGCCGGGTGGGACCAACCAAGAAGACCACACACCCCACCGCACCGGGAGGTCGGGGGAGGGGACAATCTATATTTGTTTACACACATACACATTCACATATACATAGGTGTGTATGCAAGCACGTATGTTTGTTCGTTCGTATCCATGCATGGATGGATGTGTGTGTATGTATATGTATATGTATATGTATATGTATATGTATATGTATATGTATATGTATATGTATATGTATATGTATATGTATATGTATATGTATATGTATATGTATGTGTGTGTATATATACATACAGATAGAGAGAGAGGTGTATAGGCCACACCCCAAAATAGTATTCGAAGCATTCAGGCCGCGATATTGCAGAGCTCCTGTTTGGCTTCTCCGGTCTGAGGTTAGGGTTCAGGGCATTTGAGGTTCCTCAGCCGGGGTGCCGACAGCTAGCTAAGCCAGCTGACCGTGCTTGCTCGTTTTCCTTTCTGGGGTGTTGATCATGTATACATATACATAAAGCTGCATGCATGTAGAATGATAGATAGGTAATTAGTTAGGTAGGTAGATATGTTGTTGCCATGAACTGTGTTCCCCCAATTGCACTAACGGCAATCAGGAACTCCAGGGAGTGCAGTTGTACATGTTGTTTGTCCTGCTCCTTGCCAGCAGCTGACTAACGTGCTTAACATCCGTATGAGTTGGAACCCTAAAGAATGATTAACATCTGCATCTTGCACCTGCGCCAACCCCCGAAAGCCTAAACCCAACACCCGGGCCCCAAGCCTATGCTCTACGCATGGGTGGTTGTCAAAGTTATGGTCCCTTTTTGGGTCCTTATTATAATACGGCACCTATTATTTAGGGTACCCAAAAAGGGACCATAATTTTGACAACTACCCTCCAAGGGTAAAAGGAGGGATCCTTGATAAGGACACCTAGTTATATACCCTTAATATAGCTATATACCCATTATATAGCCCATTATAGGGTAGGGGTCCCCATTAAGGGTCCCTCCTTTTCCCGTTTGATACCCACATCTCTACGCTCTTCCCTAAGCCTCGAATCCCCGGAACCCTATGCTCTCAGGATCCTCCACCCCGAAATCCTTATCGATCTAGGGTCTATAAGCTTTAGAACTGTTTAGGGTTTAGGTTTAGGGTTACGATTTGGGGTTCAGGGTTTAGGGCTTAGGGTTAGGATTTCGGGTTTAGGGTTTGGGTTAAGGGTTTAGGCTTAAGCGTGACAAACCCCTGTCAACCTACAAGGACAATCCTCATCAACGAGGTGCGGCAAGAGGACGAGGACCGTCAGGGTTTACACTGAAGCAAACCTTGACTTTGGCATGAGAACGTTATCAGGTTTCTTGGGGTCCTATGAGGGTTTTGCAGCTATTCTACAATTCAGCAGCCCTGTACAGGTCGTAACAAGATTCTGTATTGGTAGCTGTTTCGAGAGGTTCAGGGTTCAAGGAGTGCTTCAAGGATCAGAGGACTTTGTACATAGCAGGGGTTCACCACAGCACAGAAATGTCAGACTCGTACAACTTGGATATGAGGGCTGTTACTAGATTCCTGAGTAGTACCCTGTGGACCTTTTCATTTTAGGGTACCCTTTTAAATTGAGTGGGAAAAAGGGCACCCTTATTACAAAGGGGCGACTCAGCAACCTAGCTAATTAGATGCATGACATGAAGGTTCAGAAGTCACGTAGCCCACGGGAGGATGCTTCGAACTATACTAGCGACCTGGTCCCCTGATCCTTTTCGGACTTGGATCTTTCAAAGGGGTCATTAGGTAGAAGCTGAGTTTGACTTTGAAACTTTCGGAAACTCTTGATGGGCTTATTGTTCGGTTCCGATAAAGTTCTGGGTTCATCTCTGAACTTTATAGGTGCATGGTTTTTGCGAGCTTCGGTGGCTTACGGATACCTCCCTGTGCCCAGACCTTCCAGTATCCCCAGGAATAATGTACCTTAAACCATATTAGAGATCAACGCCTGAACCCTCAACCCTAAACCTTGAACCCTTTAAGAGTTCTCTTAGAATCTATAAGGTAAATTCCTGAGAAAAGGGATATTGGAAGGTCTGGGGCCCTTAAATCCCTTAAAGGAACCCTTAGAGATCCCTCATCGAACCCTCAGAGATTCCGTAAAGAACCCTTAGAGATCCCTTAGGAACCTACCGGTCTGAGCCGGGGATTCTTCACTTACCCTCAAGGTGCATGCATCCAAATACTATATACTTTGGCTTTAAAGTAATCTCTGTAGAGGTACTTTGGGGCCAAAGTCTATACTATTTGGGTACATGGACCCGTAGGGTCCAAGTACTCCCTACTGTAGGACTTTGGGTCCTTTTTTGGGTACCAAAAACCATAAATGAGGACTACTTGAAGCCTTAGATATCCCTTTAAGGGAACCCTTAGAGATCCCTTTAAAGGAACCGCAAGAGATCCCTTAAAGGAACCCTTAGAGGTTGTAGTTTGTTTACAGTCCGAGCTCGCACCTGCTGGTTGTCTTGATCTTGGGGTCTTCCAGTCAAGGTTTCAGAGCAGTGTTTGGAGTGTAGGGAGTAGGGTTTAGGGTTTATTGGTGAGGGTTTAGGGATTAGGGATTAGGGTCTAGGGTTCAGGGTTTAGGGTGAGGGTTTAGGGAACATTGCAGGGAATGCTCTGGGTACTTCGGGTTTGTGGCTTACGGTTTAGGGCTCCAAGTGCGTAGCAGGAAACCACAAATCTCACAACCAGAATCCCGAAACTCCAGTCCCCAACTAAGCACATGGATTCCTGACAACAGTCTGGAGAAACAGTCTTGTCAGGGGAGAGCCCGGAGCAGTCACTTGTGGTGGTTGGGTTAGATTCCTGTACTCTTTCTGTTTCTCCTCTCGAGCCACGCGACTGTGTGCAAGAATCGTCTATACGACCGGCACCGCATCGATCACCTAACTTATACTAATGTAAGCACTTACTTGTAGCGTCCGAAAGAAAGCCCCAATATCGTACCGCAACCTGCTATATTGTAGCTTCCGAAACAAAGAACGAATATAGTGCCTGTAGGTTGTAGGAACCCTACAGATTGACACAGGTAGTTGCTGACCGACTCAATTTGCCAGCACTCCGTGCACCATGCAAACCTCCCCATCCTTGTTGATGCTTGAAATTCCACAGAAAGACCCAGACTCCTAGACCCCTTAAGTAAGGAGTACACCGTGTATTATACGGGGTTTAATGAACAAATCTGAATCAAGGTGTATGGGCTCTCTTTGTGACTTCTTGCGGAGTATTCGCTGAAAAGGCATCCGTTCGTTCTGTACTCTGCGCTCGGCTTGCTCATGCTTCGCGTAGCAGGCCTTGCCGGCGAAGAGCTGGTAACAATACCTCTGGACGAGCTGACTGATGTAAAGTCCTTGAAGCAGCTCCTGCAACGAACGCATGGCTTTCCCCCGAGATTCAGGCAACAGCTCCTCCTCAACGAGAAGCTTTTGGATGATGCCTTCAAACTTGACACCGCCATGGACCTGCAGCTCGTCTTGCTCACATTCTCGAGCACACCCCAGGCGCAGACACATGAGCTCACCGTGGCGTCCGTGGTCGAGGCAGGAAGTCACCAAGCTCAACCTCACGCCCCAAGCTTGTAACTTCAGACTTTATTATCCTCAATCCCTGAATCCTTCTTGAGCCGAAGGCCCCTAGAAAGCCCACAAGTCTTGCGAATCCTCAGGTTGAATCTCTGCTGGAGGCCCGGCATGATCCCAATCTGGCTGATTCACGTGGCATGACGCCACTGGCCGCAGCATCTCACGGCGGTCATGTGGAAGCTGCAAGCTTGCTGCTGGAAGCCGAGGCTGACGTGAACATCAGCACCAACGACATTACGCCCTTGATGTTTGCCTGTCGTCGGGGCTGCGCTGAGGTTGTGCAGGTGCTACTCGCGGCCCGTGCCGACACGAATTTTGCCAGTGAGCGAGGCACCGCTCTGTCTCTTGCATGCGGCCGAGGTAATGTTGCCGTGGCACGCATGTTATTGGAGGCCGGTGCGAACAAGAATGCCATGAACTGCGGCTCTTCTGCTCTCATGATCGCAAGTGCCTGGGGTGAGACGGCGGTGGTAAGTTTATTGCTGGAGTCCCGTGCTGACCCAAACTTGGTCTGCGAGGCGGATGGCGCCACAGCTCTCATTTCTGCAACCAGGCACGGCTCTGCGGATGTGGTCTTCTTGCTTCTGAAGGCCGGTGCAGACAAGGACATTCCGACGAAAACCGGCAAAACAGCTCCTAGGCTGTTGAGTGAAATACTTTTGTTTCCGGGCACCTCCAAGCCCTAAACCCTACCCCATAAACCCTAAACCCTAAAGTTTAATATACAACTCGGCCACAATAGGATCTACTTTGTTACTCTGTCCCGGCCGAGGCTCTCATGGAGGCATCTGATTCGGACATTCTTGATCTGCTGAGGGAGATCCCGGGATCGGCTAGAAAGTGCCGCATCGGCGCCATCCCACGCCTTATATACATAAGTATGTACATATATATAAATATATATATATATATATATATATATATATATATATATACACACACATGCATGCATGGATGCATGCATACATGGTAAACTTAAATTATTTTTTTTATTGAGGAGAGATTAGCAGTGGCTACGGCCGTTACCGTCACGGGAGCCAACTGACTAGGACTGGGAGAGACAGTGAAACTAACGGCACCCCTGTTGCAGCTACGACGAGCCGAGTGAGAAGAGCACATGTAGCAAGACTAGCTCTGAATTTGAACATGCAGTAGCTTCGGCGAACATGCACTCCATGGTCGTGGCAGTCACTGCACTAACCGTCAACAGCTTAGCCCATGAACTCGATAGGTCAGTAAACCGTATATCCCGAACCCTCAACCCACAAAACTTCATGCAAGGAGTCTCGATAGGTCAGTAAACCCATTCCAAACCCTGAGTCCCGAAAACATCATGCGAGGAGTTGCTGCTGGGACGCGAGCGCGGCTACCGCATCGAGAAGGTCATTGGCCGGGGCGACATGGCATGGATCTCTTGGGTTCTTTCCAGCCTGGAGGATCATGAAAGGCTCCTCAAAAGAAATCCTTACAAGGGATCCTTAGGATCTATAGTTCAGGGGTCTACAAAGGCCGGGGGGGGGGGGGGGGGTATGGGACTTGGCAAATAAGGTTAAAAGTACTTTGGTGGGTGTATAATTAAGCATGTATGAGTCTAGCTACATTAATTATATTCCTAGTTACTAAGGTCCATGAGCCTTCAGGAGGAGGTTTCCAGATTCCATATATATATATATATAGATATTATATCATTTTATATTTTGTTTTATTTGATTATACTACATTATATTATATTTCAGTATAATATATATATATATATATATATATATATATTATATATATATATATATATATATATATACATATCAGTGTTTGACCGGTAACCTGTATCAGACTTCCCAGACCAAGTCGAACGTTGAGACGCGTGCATTTGCATGTCTAGCTGGACACCAAAAGTATGTAGAATAATAGCCTTTCATAGGTTTTGGGCCATTATTCTACCTACTTTGCATGGTCTAGGTAGCACACACATTCAAACCTTCCGCGAAACCTCACGGCAGATGCATCTCAGTAGTTGAATGTATTCAAGACTTTCACGAGGCTTTTTTGGGTTCAGGTTGAAAGATAGGGTTTTGGACTAATTATTGGGTTCAAGCTTCCCGTCTTCTAGTTTTTCTCCTGCACACTCAACTCCCCCCCCCCCCCGTCCCCTCCCCGAATCCCGAATCCGAAACGTAGAAATTCATCAAGCCCTTACAGGTGCATGAACTGCCAGTGTCGGATCAGGCCATCCCTATTTCCGATTTTGGTGCCAAATTCCCAAGCAGCACCGTATGTGGGTTCTTACTAACCCAGAAACCTTATAAACTTCGATGAGAATCCCCAAAGCACCCTTTGTAACTTAAAAGTTAGGCAGCTTCGGGGCAGCCTACCTGGCACGTGACGAGCAGCAGTTGCAGCGAGTCATCAAGGTCTGGGGTGGCAGGGTGTTACGGTTTAGGCCAGGCTTTATGTCTTTCCCCCTAAACCCAGAACCGTAAACCCGAAACTGCAATGCCTGGAGCTCTCAAACCTTAGCCTTGGAGGCCCAAGCCTTAAGTACCTAGCCTTAAACGGTTGAGCCGGGAACACCAAGTGCTGGATATAGGCGCCTAAACCGTTATCAATCTTGTCTTGTGGGTTCAGAGTTTAGAGTTCAGGGTATATTTACAGCAGAGCATAGCGTATACTTGCAGCAGAACATACACCAAAATCCTATTACAGTTATTTAGGCCCCTACATTTGCACCCTTGCAAAGCCACAGAGAACACCAGCAGGCACTTACATACACTACAAGCTCTGACAGGACCCTTGCTTAGTTTCTTTGGAGTATAGCCAAGGACAGCAAAGTATGAGTTTCGGGTTTTACGGTCTAGGGGTGAAGGAGGGTCTGAGGATTTACGGCTCAGGGCTTCGCTCGCGGTTTGGGTAAAGCAATCAACCATTCTGCTTCCCTAAGGCTCCATGTACCCATATCGTAGATACTTAGGCCTTAAAGTACCCATATAGAGACCCCTTTAAGGCCTAAGTATCTACTATATGGGTACATGGAGCCTTCGGGCTTCCAATCAACAGATACGCCCGGAAAGAGGAGCAGCGCATGTTTTCCAAATACCTGGGCTAGATTAATATCAACACACTACCAGTCCTATTCTGTGGGGTTCCTGTACAGGATACCCCAAAACCCAAAACCTTCCAAAAAGTCCTCTATGTCCGGTACACTCGTGCTTCTGCCCAGGCCTTTAACCCACATCCCAAACCTTGAGCCCCAATCCTTAAACATTAAACCCTAAACCTGGAACCTTAAACTGTAATCCTTAAGCCCTAAACCTTGCGCCTTATGTCAGCTTGGGAGGATCGAGCAGGCGTAAATCGCAAAAATAAAAAAAACCTAAAACCCGAAACCTTAGACCCTAAACCCTAAAGAAGCACAGGCGGTGGAGGTTCACCGGGCCAAGGCGCCGCAGTCGGCACGCACAGAGGTGGCGGTCATGAAGTGCCTGAAGTCGCCAGGTTGCACCCAAAAAGGTTTCGAGATTTAGGGTTTGGCTTTAGGGTTTAGGGTTTAAGATTTGGAGTTTAGGGTTTAAGATTTAGGGTGTATGGTTACTTGGTAGCTAAGTGGATACACTTTCCACTCTTCGCGATAATATCACCCACTATAAAACAATAAGTGTACACTTTATGGGGCTTATGAACTCAACAACTAAGGTTGCAGGTTTAGGCTTAAGGTTTGGGCTTTGGGGGTTTCAGGTTTACAGGTTTAGGGGTTAGGGTGTGAATTTGAGGTTTTGGGGTGTCAGGTTCAAGCCTGAATATCTCCTAACAGTCTTCTTAGCGTTCCTTTATTACAGTAGAAGCCCAAAAGTTGGAAACCCAATAGCCTCAGTCCTTAAGAGTAATGTATAGGGAATCCCAGCACTATTTGTCCTTAATCAGGTTTCCAACTTTGTGGAGTTTACTGTAGATGTATAATGTAATGTGCCTTAGAAGCTTGTTCTAGTTCTAACTGTTACGGGCCTCATATTGCACGACTTCCAAAAGGGCTTGTGTAGGGTTTAGGGTGTGAGATTAGACAAGTCAGCAAGCAATAGTGACTCGGTTCCCCAGTAGTACCCTTTGCCACATTAGCTCAGGGTTGCCTCATTAAAGTTAAAACAGAATACCAGGAATCAGTGAACTCTTGTTATGACGCGGACGCTTGGGAGTAGTTACAGGACTACCTACGTACTAGATAGGTGGCTAGAAATATAGTGGCACTCGAGCAACTGCCCTAAACCCTGAACCCTAGACCACAAACACCCAAAGGAAGACCATGAACCCGAAGAAGCCTGGGTTTTCAGGCTACAGGGTTTATGACCCGCAAGCGAACTGAAGCGCGAACCCCCAACCGTAAACTCGAATTTGAAACCAGCGAAAAGACCAAAAGCCAAGAGGCGTTGTCCTTGCGTCCCCTAGAACCCTAAACCCCTAAACCGTGGCGTTTGGGCCCAGGCATCCCCACATTATCCGTTTCCGAGACAGCTTCGCCGAGAAGGCTGCACTATTCTTTCCCAGTCGAATACAAGTTCAGGGTTTAGGGTACTCGTCATCTGCATCGGGGTAGGGTTTCTATAGGATTCTTGTGGATACTTAGTTGCCCATCAGCTCTAGATGTGGCTTCTTGACCTGAAGGGTTTAGGGGTTTAGTGTTTGGGGGGTCTAGGGGTTTTGGGCATAGGGTTTGAGGGTTGAGGGCGTGTGACTATTTACAATACCAGAGTTTCTGGATTCCCTGGAGTTTCGCGGGAATTGGAAGTGCCGGCTTCGTAAATATACTTCGAGTTGAGCTCTTTCCGTTTCAGGTGTCAGGCTTTGACGAGCCCTCTAGGAAGGGTTAAGGGGCTGTGTGAGTTTCTATGCTACATTTTGATGTTTCATGCCTCAGTGTGCAGATGTTTCGGAGCTCAGGTGTAGGGGCCCCGAAATCCTAAACCCTAAAAGGGGAGGACCTTGTGCGTCGAGTTTTCAAAAAGGGGTTTGTGAGGCGCAACGTTAGACGAGCTCCTGCAGTGAATCAAGGAAACCTTCAATATCTTAGGAAGCAAGAAACCCTACACCACAAACCCCAAATTCCAAACCCTAAAACCCAAGCCCAAAAGCTCCAAATCCTAAACCTCAAACCCAAAACTCCAAACCCCAAAGCCCCACCCCAAAACCAAAAGACTTCTAATCCTAAACCCTAAACCCCAAACTCAAGATCCTAAGCCCCCAAACTCCCAAGGCTAAAGCCCAAACCCCAATCCCCAAACTCTAAACCCAACCTCAAGACGATCAGTTTGAACTGAAATGCCAGGACCTTCTTTGCATCGTCATGGACTTCGCGCCCGCTGGGGACCTGCTCCTTGGCGGACTAGAGGGGCCTTTAGGCTTCAGGGTCTAGGGTTTAGGTTTTGCGGCATACACGTATGGTCCGTATGGTTACTAGTTACTAGTATGGTATACATATCTTATTTAGAACTCAAGCAAAGCCAGATTGATGGAGGCTATGTTTTATCAAGGCTGAGGGTTGGGGTTTGGACTTCGGGGGTATAGCTCTTACCTAGACGGGTGTCTCGCTCGACGGATGCGAGCCAGTAAGTTGCATACAGTAAACTCCATAAAGTTGGATACCGGAAGGCCAAATAGTGCTGGGATTCACTATACATTACTCTTAAGGATTTAGGCTATTGGGTTTCCAACTTCTTGGCTTCTACTCTAATCCCACTCACCTCGAAAGTTGGAACACCATCACCAAACCGATTCCCCACTGAAGCCCCAGCCGGGCCCTAGAGGACACCCCTGCTTACCGAATGCCGTTCTCAGGTGCCAGAGAAGAGGGATCCAGATGTAGTTCTTATAGAGGGAGGAGGTCAATCAATCAATCAATCAAGTGCAGTGTAAAGACTTACGTTCCTTAAAGGGCTCCTTAAAAAGGGATCTGTAAGGTTTCTATAAGGGGATCTAGGGGTACGTAAAGGATCATGGGGCTTAGTAACATAGGGTTATAATTAGGGTAACTATACTTATGACTACTTATAACCCCAATTAAGGTACTTATAACCTTACTTACTAGGTCCCATGGACCTCCAAGGACCCTCAACACCCATCTCAGGCTGCTTCGCGTGGACACAGCCCGGCGGACGTCCAAGATGATTGCAGAGGCAGAGCTTAGCTTGAGGTTGTTTTATACCAAACTGTGGGTTCCTTCAGCCTTATCACCCTAAACCCTGCGCCCTAGAGGGTTTAGGGTTCAGGGTTCACGGAAAACCTTAAGCGCCGAACGAGTTTCTGCTTTTCGGATTACATGGTTACGGAAGGATTCGCAGGTAACTTGTGGGGTTCGTTTCGGAAGCTGTCGAGTTATATATATATATATATATATATATATAGTAAGGCTCAAGTGAATGGGAAGACTGCCTCTACAGCTCCTATTGTATAGTTAGTATAGTTAGTGTATATAATATGTCGCGACAAGCTACTCTAAGTATCAAGGTGCCTGTTTTGTATGTGCCACCGAGCTCAGGACCACTACAACGGGTCGAGGAGGGTGTAGCTTGGTGGTTGTTGGGGTGTTCCATCACCTGTACTGGGCATACAACTCTAACGATCGATACGACCTATAGTCTCCATTGTAGTTCCTTTTTGGTTAGCAAAAATCTCTATTATATGATCCTAACCATAAAACTGGTTAACAAAAAAAGGAACTACAATGGAGCCTCTAGGTGTCGCTTTTGCTCCGTGGTCTGGGGTGTTCCGGGGTCAAACATCCCAAACCCCTAAACCCCAAAACTCACAACCTAAACCCTATAGACCCTAAAGCAAAACGAGTCGATGGAAAGTCCAAGTGGCAGGCTTACATGTGGCTCTTGAGGAACAGAATCGGGTGTTGGGGTACTGCCTGACTGAGAATTCCTGGACCTACGACCGCGAAATATTGGGATTCAGTAGCCCTAAGAGAGACCCAAGGGTTCTTGATCAGGTCCCTACATTGGACAACAAGGGGATAGTAACAATACTACTAAGTCACTACTATAGGGGCCTTAATTTATAGTAATTACCTATACTATTGTGGGGTTCCGTAATATAGTTATGGTATAACGTACCCCAAAGCCCTATTCTAATCATCAAGACCCCTATATTACGGGCCTGTGCAGCGCCCCTTAGAGTTGGTACGGACTTTCATGGAGTCCTGGGTTTCAGTCAGTTTTAAGATCTATCAGGACCTGCTTTAAGTTCTTGAGAGGGCGGCAGATAATCATACTGCTGATGGACAAAATCCTGCATGACCCTAAGGACTCTAAACTATGGGAACTATGGTATATTCCTTATAATGTGTCATGCAGGGTTTTGTCCATCAGCAGTACCATCAGCATGTCCATCAATATCATCACACTCACTGCCCTCAAGGTTGTCAGGATCACGGCCTTCAGTGCTGGAGGTAGCTCAAGAAGCAGAAGACGGATGCCACCATCGAAGCGTACCTGCTCAAGGGCGTCAACTGTTGTTGGGACTACCTTGAACCTCCAAAAAGCTTCACCCAGGCACATCTGATCGCCAAGCCCAACACGTAAGTCCAAAACACCAAATCCCTAAACCCAAAGCTCAAAAACTCCAAACCCTTATCCCCAAACACAAGAACCTCCAAACCCTTGAACCCCTAAGGGATCATTGGACTTAGTAACTAGGGTTATAAATTAGGGTAACTATACTTATAACCACTTGTAACCCCAATTAAGGTACTTATAACCTTACTTACTAAGTCCCATGATCCTCCAAGTAAGCTTACCCACAAACGACACCCAACGGCAGCCCCAGGAGCGGACCTTGCAATGGTTCCTTCAGGCCAGGGCAGGGGATTGTGATTCTCGCGCTTGGGGAGTTTAGGGTTTATGGGTTTAGGCTTTAGGAGTTTAGGGTTTAGGGGTTTACGGTTTAGGGGTTAAGTCAGGGATTACACTACCCATGCTCGCTCAAGCTTCGTGCTTCTACTATGTTTGGGTGCTTGCTCGAACTCTTTTTTCTCCCCGGTCCTCGCCCCTGTTGTCGTCTTGCTTACTATGCCAGCACCCCACTTGATGGTTCGTCTTGCATGATCACCGGCTAGTACTATGGTTTCAGTCTTGTTTGCGTCAACTATCACAGACGAATCATTGATCCTAAAAGCCTTCTCTTGGAGGGCTCCTCCATTGTAAATAAAACTGGGTTGTAGCCTGCCTCCAAAGTACATCTGGTGACATCCAGAGTCCGCAGAGGCTGATTCTTCCGGAAGCAGCCATCCACATATTGAACTATTGAATCTTTTCAGAAATCGTTTGTTCAACTCATCTCGTTCCGTTCCTTCGAGTAGCCTCAGTAGCGAGCACGAAGCAGTCTGAGCGAGCACGTTCCGGTCTGAGCAAGCACGTTGGACACGCAAAGAGAAGAATGAGTGCAACCGAGCGGTTGCAGAAGTGCATACAATGTATATGGAGCCACTGTACGGCGGCCATGACAACCTCAGTGCTCGCTCGTGGCTGTGGTGCTCCTAACAAGTGTGCTTTGTTCCGGTGCGGCGACAACGGCGACTGTAGAATCTGAGCGAGCACGTATTCCAGTAGAGGGCTGGCTTTCGAGCGAGCACGCTCATTCCTTGGGTCTTCACCATTTAACAGCCATTGCTTCGGTTTAACAAAAATGGTTGCTCGCTCAAGTTTTGTGTTCGCCCACGTGGCGGCACATGCGAAACAAAAATATCCAGCGAGCATGTCCGCACGAGCGAGCACGCTGAGCAGTGAGCCAGCACGTGTAGCAGCGAGCCAGCACGTATAGCAGCAGCGAGCACGTAGCAGTCTGAGGGAGCATGTATTCGGGCTAAAGCACTCCGGCCGAGTGGCCCAACGAACAACAGCATCCCAATTGCCTTCTAACCTCTCTTGGCAACACTTTGCTCCCCAACCGACCACGTGAGCCGACGAGCTTCGCCGGCTGGGCGAAGGAGTGGGCGGCTCGGTGTGGAAATTTCCCAGATCAGCGTATCTAATGATTACCAGATGTACTTTGGAGGCAGGCTACAACCCAGTTTTATTTACAATGGAGGAGCCTTCCAAGAGAAGGCTTTTAGGATCAATGATTCGTCTGTGATAGTTGACGCAAACAAGACTGAAACCATAGTACTAGCCGGTGATCATGCATGACGAACCATCAAGTGGGGTGCTGGCATAGTAAGCAAGACGACAACAGGGGCGAGGACCGGGGAGAAAACAGAGGCCGAGCAAGCACCCAAACATAACAGAAGCACGAAGCTTGAGCGAGCATGGCTAGCGTAATCCTTGATTAAGGTTTTAGGGGTTTAGGGGTTTAGGGGTGTGGGCTTTTGGGTTTTAGTGTGTGGGATTCTCCGGCTTTGGGTGCAGAATGTGGGTTTCATAATTACATAGTTCAGGGCTTAGGGATTTGGGATGTAGGGTTCTGAGTTTGGGGTTTCAGGTTGGGCGGTTTGTGTTTCTGAGGTGTGGGGTTTAGGCCAGGTTTTGGCGTCTGGGTTTTAGGCGTTGAGCCTTGGTCTTACAAGGCTCAAAAAGGGTCTACCTGCAGGCTTTTACGAGTTTAGGCAGTTGACTCAACAGCCTACACGTAAATGTGAAAAGTGCAGGAGCAGTCCCTTGATTACCAACCCGCCCCAACCCGTGCTTGCTTAATAAGGAAGACCAGGGACCTTATACTAACGAAGCGGCGCAGTCATTATTCGATGCTTTCATCAGCAGTAGAAAGGAGGAAAGCAGCGCCAATGCAAGGTAAATGCCCTAGAATTGTACCGTTGGTCTCAAGGCGCTGTCTGAACTCAGTTGCTCGGTTCGAGCCTCGATAGAAGCTTCCTTTTGTCAGAGGGTCCCGTAGGATAGACAGTCCTAAACAACTCGACTAAGGTTGGAATGTTCTGTTCTATGCTACAACCAATTCTGGCAACCCTACAAGGAAGAGTCTCAGTAACTTCCGAGGCCGCTCTGTTACAAAGCTTGAGTTTCAGCTTTACCCTCAACCCTAAACCCCAAACCCTAATGTGTTGTGGATCTCCGTTCTTGCCAGTAAACTGCTTGTCCACTTTGGACGTTCTGGTGCGGAGTGCGGGCACCGGGCTGATATGGCTTCTGGGAGACCGGTCGGTGCTTGCTGGCCGCCGCGTCGCCCTTCGATCAAAGCCGAAGGTAAAGGGAAGCAACACGACGTTACTTACAGCATTGACCCAGATGGTTGGAATGTGCGACCTCTGGCTGAATTCTGCGACACACATGGTGGTATCTATATGTGTGAAAAAGAGGAACAGCCAAGCGCATTGCTGAAAAACGTGTTGGACGCAACTATCCCATTGGAGTTGTGGCCCCTTTCCCTATGGACATTGGAGTTAAGCAACCTGAGTCCATCTGCGTTGAATTTGTCAAACAAACAGGTGACCAAAGTCATAACCTCACTAAGCCTCAAATACATCCCTTGGTGTTCTTCTGGTTGGCTCTTAGGACTTTAGCTTTTTAATTTTCTATATGGACTATGACTGGGCTAAAAATTTAAGTTCTTAGGAGGGGCTCAGAAGTCAGCTGAGAACCCTCAACATCAGTAATGTTTCACGCCGTCTTTCTTTCGTCGCAAGAGCCTTTTCTTCAAGGAGTTTAGCTTGCTCCATTGGGAGTTCTATCGGACGGGGGCGTTCAAGGCTTCCAGAATTATGAGAGCAGGCGAAAGCTACTCTTCATGCCATGCTTCCAAATTCTGTCCTGCCCTTAGCAGGCCGTTGCCGGGGTGAAGTACATGCACAGTCTCTGCATCATCCATCGGGACATCAAGAACGAGCCGCACGGCAACAAGGGTGCAACTGGGTCATGTAGGGGCCTTAATAATTGGAATGTGGGGGGTCCCTTTTAATTTTAGTAATATAATGATGGTATTAACAATGATAACAGTATATCTTTCCCAAAACCCATTCTAATTATCAGGGCCCCATATTTACATTACTACCAAGACCGCGGGCGATCATGGGGCCGTCCGTCTCAGACTTACAGTTTGATTGTCTATACCTATAGTCTCCATTGTAGTTCCTTGTTTTGGTTTATCCAGTCTGATCTTTAGGGGCCTATAAGGTAACCCCGAAAAGGAACTACAATGGAGACTACAGGTAGGTTTAGGTTAGGGTATGTACTGGGTTTTATCGACCGGGTATAAGGTGTTCGCTTCTTCGATTTTGCACGATTTAAGTGCAGTGTCTCAAGGTTTATATGATGTGGGATTTCAGTTCAGAGTTTCGGAATGTGCAGACTCCTGACTGGACAACGGCGGCACCCAAGCAGGCCGCATTATCAACACATTTTAAAAGAAGTCCTCCTACCCGCTGGAAAGCAAGTACCCCCAAACATCCTAATCCCGGAACCCCCAAGCCGTAAGTCATAGGATGCCACAAGGGGTTTTAGCCTATGGGGGTTTAGTAGGGATTAGGGTTTCCATAATAGGGTTCATAGCAAGGAATCCATACCCCAAGAATCTTAAACCCCCCCGTTTTGGCCTCCCATCAGTAAGGAACCTCTTCCTCGAGTCCGAAGAGCACCTCCGGATTGGAGATTTCGGTCTCGCCAGAAGGCTCAAACGTGCGCGGTCCTGAGGGCCTACTATAGGGGCCTCAATAATTACCTACACTATTTTGGGGGCTCCTTAGTATGAGTATATTATACTGGGCCCCACAACCCTAGTCTAATTATTCAGGCTCCTGTATTATGTAGGATTTCAGGTTTGGCTCTGCAGGTTTTTGGATACCGGGGTGTCCTAAGCCCTTTTATGGAAATCTTAAGGGTTTCATAACCCTAAACCCTAAAACCTAAAGCCCTAAACCCTAAAACGCTAAATCCGAAATTCAAAAGCCCGAAACCCTAAAGCCCTAAACCCTAAAACGCTAAATCCCAAACCCAAAAGCCCGAAACCCTAAAGCCCTAAACCCTAAACGCTCAATCCCAAACCCGAAACCCGAAACCCTAAAGCCCTAAACCCTAAACGCTCAATCCCAAATTCAAAAGCCCGAAACCCTAAAGCCCTAAACCCTAAACGCTCAATCCCAAATTCAAAAGCCCGAAACCCTAAAGCCCTAAACCCTAAACGCTCAATCCCAAATTCAAAAGCCCGAAACCCTAAAGCCCTAAACCCTAAACGCTCAATCCCAAATTCAAAAGCCCGAAACCCTAAAGCCCTAAACCCTAAACGCTCAATCCCAAATTCAAAAGCCCGAAACCCTAAAGCCCTAAACCCTAAACGCTCAATCCCAAATTCAAAAGCCCGAAACCCTAAAGCCCTAAACCCTAAACGCTCAATCCCAAATTCAAAAGCCCGAAACCCTAAAGCCCTAAACCCTAAACGCTCAATCCCAATCAAAAGCCCGAAACCCTAAAGCCCTCCCTAAACGCTCAATCCCAAATTCAAAAGCCCGAAACCCTAAAGCCCTAAACCCTAAACGCTCAATCCCAAAAGCCCGAAACCCTTAAACAAAAGCCCGAAACCCTAAAGCCCTAAACCCTAAACGCTCAATCCCAAATTCAAAAGCGCCCGAAACCCTAAAGCCCTAAACCCTAAACGCTCAATCCCAAATTCAAAAGCCCGAAACCCTAAAGCCCTAAGCCCTAAACGCTCAATCCCAAATTCAAAAGCCCGAAACCCTAAAGCCCTAAACCCTAAACGCTCAATCCCAAATTCAAAAGCCCGAAACCCTAAAGCCCTAAACCCTAAACGCTCAATCCCAAACCCGAAACCCGAAACCCTAAAGCCCTAAACCCTAAACGCTCAATCCCAAATTCAAAAGCCCGAAACCCTAAAGCCCTAAACCCTAAACGCTAAATCCCAAACCCCAAAAGCCCTAAACCCTAAACCCTAAACCCTAAAGCCCTAAACCCTAAACGCTAAATCCCAAACCCCAAAAGCCCGAAACCCTAAACCCTAAACCCTAAAGCCCTAAACCCTAAACTCTAAATCCCACCCCCAAAGTCCCCTAACCCTAACCCCTAAAAAAACCACTAAGCCCCCAAAACCCTAAACGCTAAATCCCAAACCAAGAAGGCCCGAAACCCTAACCCTAAAGCCCTAAACCCTTAAACGGCTAAATCCAACCCCAAAGCCCTAAACCCTAACCCAAACCCCAAAAGCCCTAAACCCTAAACCCTAAATCCCAAACCCCAAAAGCCCTAAACCCTAAACCCTAAAGCCCTAAACCCTAAACGCTAAATCCCAAACCCCAAAAGCCCTAAACCCTAAACCCTAAACCCTAAAGCCCTAAACCCTAAACGCTAAATCCCAAACCCCAAAAGCCCGAAACCCTAAAGCCCTAAAGCCCTAAACCCTAAACGCTAAATCCCAAACCCCAAAAGCCCTAAACCCTAAACCCTAAACCCTAAAGCCCTAAACCCTAAACGCTAAATCCCAAACCCAAAAGCCCGAAACCCTAAACCCTAAAGCCCTAAACCCTAAACGCTAAATCCCAAACCCCAAAAGCCCTAAACCCTAAACCCTAAACCCTAAAGCCCTAAACCCTAAACGCTAAATCCCAAACCCCAAAAGCCCTAAACCCTAAACCCTAAAGCCCTAAACCCTAAACGCTAAATCCCAAACCCCAAAAGCCCTAAACCCTAAACCCTAAACCCTAAAGCCCTAAACCCTAAACGCTAAATCCCAAACCCCAAAAGCCCTAAACCCTAAACGCTAAAAACCCTAGCATCCCTAACCCCTAAAACGGCTAAATCCCAAACCCCAAAGAAAACAAAGCCCACACCCTAACCCTAAAGCCCTAAACCCTAGACGCTAATCCCAACCCCAAAGCCCCTAAACCCTAAACCCTACCCCTAACAAAGCCCTAAACCCTAACCTAAATCCCAAACCCCAAAAGCCTAACCCCTAAACGCTAAAATCCCAAACCCCAAAAAGGGACCTAACCCTAAACCAAAGCCCCTAAAAACCCGAAACGCTCAATCCCAAACCCCAAAAGCCGCAACCCTAAACCCTAAACCCTAAGCCCTGAACCCTAACGCTAAATCCACAACCCCAAAGGCCCTAAAAACCCTAACCCTAAATCCCAAACCCCAAAAGCCCTAAACCCTAAACCCTAAAGCCCTAAACCCTAAACGCTAAATCCCAAACCCCAAAAGCCCTAAACCCTAAACCCTAAACCCTAAAGCCCTAAACCCTAAACGCTAAATCCCAAACCCCAAAAGCCCGAAACCCTAAACCCTAAACCCTAAAGCCCTAAACCCTAAACGCTAAATCCCAAACCCCAAAAGCCCTAAACCCTAAACCCTAAACCCTAAAGCCCTAAACCCTAAACGCTAAATCCCAAACCCAAAAGCCCGAAACCCTAAACCCTAAAGCCCTAAACCCTAAACGCTAAATCCCAAACCCCAAAAGCCCTAAACCCTAAACCCTAAACCCTAAAGCCCTAAACCCTAAACGCTAAATCCCAAACCCCAAAAGCCCTAAACCCTAAACCCTAAACCCTAAAGCCCTAAACCCTAAACGCTAAATCCCAAACCCCAAAAGCCCTAAACCCTAAACGCTAAATCCCAAACCCCAAAAGCCCTAAACCCTAAACCCTAAAGCCCTAAACCCTAAACGCTAAATCCCAAACCCCAAAAGCCCGAAACCCTAAACCCTAAACCCTAAAGCCCTAAACCCTAAACGCTAAATCCCAAACCCCAAAAGCCCGAAACCCAAAAGCCCGAAACCCTAAAGCCCTAAACCCTAAACGCTCAATCCCAAACCCAAAAGCCCGAAACCCTAAACCCTAAAGCCCTAAACCCTAAACGCTAAATCCCAAACCCCAAAGCCCGAAACCCTAAAGCCCTAAAGCCCTAAACCCTAAACCCTAAACGCTCAATCCCAAACCCCAAAAGCCCGAAACCCTAAAACCTAAAGCCCTAAACCCTAAACGCTAACTCCCAAACCCCAAAAGCCCGAAACTCTCAGGATCCTTATAGAACCTTATAGAACCCTTTAAGGAACCCTTCGAAAAGCAGCCCCCGGAACCCCAAAAGCCCGAAACCCCTAACCCCTATAGATCCCTTAAAAGGAACCCTAAACCCCTAAACCCCGAAACCCTATAGATCCCTTATAGAACCCTTGAAGATGAGGATGGCGGCCTGTTTAAGCTCTGAGGGCTTTGAGGTGCTGCTGAGCTTCCAGGGTCCAAATACCGAGTAACTGGCTAAAAGCGGGGCCTAGGGTTCCTTTAAAGGGGGTCTATAATAGTATAAGGCATCTATAAGGGCAATAATTTCCAATACCATTTTGGGGGTTCCTTCTTATACATATAGTATGATATCCCCCCAACTCCCTATTCCAATTATTCAGGCCCTTAGATTAGGTCCTAGGTACTTGGGTTTTGGGACGATGGTCGTCCTTGGGCTGGTGTACACCCTAAAGTAAAAGCCAGAAAGTTGGAATATGATTATCTTAAACCGTTTATGGTAAACTATAAGGTATCCTACCCTGAAACCATATTCCAACTTTCTGGAGTTCCCTGTAAGCCCCAGCTATTGGGCTTGCCGGTGTGACCCAGAGGCTCCAAGCACCCCAACCCATTTCAGAGCATGGTGTCTAGGTTCCCTACTTAAGGGATCTTGGGACTTAGTAACTAGGGTTATAATTAGGGTAACTATACTCATAACTACTTGTAACCCCAATTAAGGTACTTATAACCTTGTTTACTAAGTCCCATGATCCTTCAAGTAGACCCTAAACCCTTATAGATCCCTTTAAGGAACCCTTATAGGTCCCTTTTAAAGGAACCCTAAGCCCTTGGTTCCCTAGTAGTGCCTTTTTGCCCTTTGCATCTTGTGGTCTCCTTATGAAGCCGAGTAGTGGGGGAAAATGGGTATCCTTTATCATTTCGGGGCTACTGGGGTAACCTAGGTTTTAGGGACCTGCAACTCTACTGTAACAGAGGCCTAAACAATTACCAATACGATTTTGGAGATTCGTATTATACTTATAGCCCCTGAAAGCTTTCGTCGTTGCGGTTTGCAACTTCACAATCCAAGCACCGGGATGTTTCTTGTAAAAAGCAAGGGTTAGGGTTGATTTATGCGGGTTCTTCATGAATGCTATGCACAGTCAATTTTTCTGCGGATTGTTTTATGTCAATGAAACCTTAAGGAACCCACCATTATGGAATTGGGCCCCGAAAGCCGTAGTAGGGAGGGTCTTTTGGCACCTAACTCCATAATGGTAGTGTATATATGGACCCCCTAGAAAAGTCGAAGTCGGCTGAGGCTACGGAAATTTTCGTGGAGCAGCAGATTGTGGGTACGTGGCTTTGCTAAAAGACCTGGGTTCACGGTTTAGGATCTTATAGGGTTTAGGGATTCAGGGGTTTCGGGTTTAGGGAACAGTGTCGGCCTGATTTGTTTAGGGTTTAGGGTTCAGGCTTTTTCTCTGAGGATGCCGTGGGGTTCTGGTTTAGTTTTGCAGAAGGGTTGAAGTCCGAACCTTTTGTAAACCTGCAGGCTGCTCAAAAAAACTTTATTACGTTTCAAGTTGGAGATTCAGGGCTGGGCACCATCAATATCTTCCCAACCGACGGACCAGCTAGGGAACCCTCACTGAAATACGCACGTCAGCACCGAAGCCACCATAGATTTGCAACGTGTTTGAACCCGAGTCCCAAAGCCCCAAACCTTACGAACCTCGGAGATTGAGGGCTTAGGGTTCAGGGTTTAGACTTTACAACCCAGTCAGTTACAGCGATAGCATGCTTGCTAGGCCCGAACATCTGCCCGAGCTGTAGAAAAAGCACCTTCTCTAAATTAGGGTCCCATTTAAAGGGTTCAAACTATGCTGTGGACCTGAAATGGACCCGAATGTCGAGAACTACTCATATCCGTTGCTTCCTGTGAGCTTGCTGTGGTTTGCTCCACAGCCCTTTTGTGATTATCTCTCGATCGTGCCTTGCATATTACCATGCAATGCCATTACAGAAATCAGCCCTGCGTGCGGACCACCTCAGTCAGTCTACACTTCTAAACTGTATGGCTAGATGCGCCTCTCCGAACATTCGGGTTGTTCTGCTTCGGCGTCCGGAACCGGTTTTGTTAGGGTCCTTCCCGAAGAGCCCAATACCCCTTAATTAGGGAATATGGCTTAAATTATATAGGGGTTCATATTATGATTTAAGCTATATTCCTTAATTAAGGGGTATTGGGCTCTCTGGATTTCTGGCTTCCCTTCTCTTTCGCGCGCGCTGCAGGAAGATCTATAAAGGCCCAAGGCCCGGCCTGAAAAGCAATAAGCCAGAAAGCGCTTTTCCAAGGCCTCTCTACTTGAGCCCAGAGGTCTGCGCCAAGGGCATGTGCCATGGCAGCCACAGGGTTAGGGGGTTCTCGATTCAGAGCATAAGGCTGTAGGATTTCACACTTCATGCCTAGGAGTCAGTAGGGTGTAGGGCTTGTGATGATAACTATAGGGCACAGACTCCTAGAGTTTTTGGTAATTAGGCTTCAGGGTCATTGGGGTCAACGTTGAGGCTTAAGGTTAAAGTTAGGCTTCAGAGGGTCTTCTGACGTCGCGCTGCTTTTGAGCCAAGAGGGCCGCTGAAGTGCAGACGCAAAGGGACCCCTGATCTGCTTCTAAGGGCCTCTAAGAGCTTTGGTCTTGCCCCAGAAGGGTTCACTGGACCCCAAAGTTAGGTGCTTTGGTGTAGGACCTATAGTCTCCATTGTAGTTCCTTCTTTTGGTAAACCAAAATCTCTATTATAGGATCCTGGATCCTAACCATAAGGCTGGTTAACCAAAAAAAGGAACTACAATGGAGACTCTATAGGGATAATGAACAAGTGTGAAGGGTCTACTTGAAGGATCAGGGGACTTAGTAAGTAAGGTTATAAGTACCTTGATTGGGGTTATAAGTAGTTATAAGTATAGTTACCCTAAGTATAACCCTAGTTACTAAGTCCCATGATCCTTTAAGTACCCCTAAATGCCCGAAATAGAACCCGTATAGATCCCCTTTAAGGAGCCCTTTTTAAGGAACCCTAGTTACTAAGTCCCATGGTCCTTTAAGTAGAGTCTCTAGTCTTGATTTTGGGTGGCCTACTTCCTCCGGCCGAAGCTTTAAGGTCTGCAATTTTTCCTTAAATAGGCCTTATTACTCCTTATTATGGGCCTTAAGGCCCCCTACCCCCCCTCCCCCTACACCCCTAAGGATCCCTATGACTAAACCCAAAAGAACCATGGACCTTCATAAAAGATACTTAAGCCTTAGAGGGGTCCCTATATAGGTACTTTATGGCCTAAGTATATACTATAAAGGTACATGGAGCCTTAGGGAAGCCCAAAAGAACCTATATAAGCTGCCCTAAACCCTAAACCCTAAACCCCTAAACCCTAAACCGTGCAAGGTACTCTACCGCTAGCGACGTTTGGGCGCTGGGCTGCTCCCTCTTTGAGCTCTGCTCTTTCAGCTTGCCCTTTGAGGCCGCGGATTTTGAGGGTTTGGGGTTTAGGGTGAGAAACCCTAAACCCCTAAACCCCTAGACCCCTAAACCCTAGTCTGGGGATTTTGAGGCTTGTGGGGATTTAACTTACCTTTGGTTAGTAGGGAATGGAGGAAAGGGGATGTACTTATATCTACTATTACTACCATTCTTCCATTCCCTACTAACCAAAGGTAAGTTAAGGGTTCAGGCTGTTTTGGGGTCTTCGGTGGCCTTTGTTATGGGGATACCAGCAATCAAGGCAGGGTTCACAGCTCCCTGCAGGTTTTGGGCTTTGTTATGGGGATACTAGCAAAAAAAACCTGGGCCATATTTCATGTAGGGCTAGGATAGTTTAGGGTATAGGGAGAACTCAGGGCTTCGCAGGTTCTTTTCCTGTGGTTTCCTTGAAGTTTAGTAGCGGGTTCGTGGAGTTATGATTCTGAAAGGGAAACCAGGGAGGTTAGCAGGGTGTTGGGCAGCTCCTGATTCTAAGAGAACTTCCGAAGGATTTAAGTTCAGGCAGTATGTTGTTTTTTCGTGGGCTCTTCTACTTGATCGTGTTTTGATCTTCGTGGGTTTCATAAAGTCTGTATACCGTATACCCCTAAACCCTGAACTCTAAGCCCTACCTATAGTCTCCATTGTAGTTCCTCGTTTTAGTTACCCAAAATCTCTAGTATAGGATCCTATCCATAAAGCTGGTTAACCAAAAACGGAACTACACTGGAGACTCTAGGTAAACCAAAAACCATGTCTTGAACCGTAAGCCTTCCAAGCAGCACAGCCCCGAAGACTCCAAGTCCGGTGCCGACTTGGGAACCCTACCTTCTTCAAAGGATCATGGGACTTACTAACTAGGGTTCCTTAAAAGGGCTCCTTCTTAAAAGGGATCTATAAGGGTTCTATAAGGGGCATTTAGGGGTACTTAAAGGATCATGGGACTTAGTAACTAGGGTTATAATTAGGGTAACTATACTTATTGCTACTTATAACCCCAATTAAGGTACTTAGAACCGTACTTACTAAGTCCCATGATCCTCCAAGTAGAGGCTCTATAGTAGTTCCTTTTCGTGGTTCATATTCAGAATCCTATAAAGTAATCCCAAAAAGGAACTACTAGTTATATGGGTTTGGGGTTTAGGGTTTAGGGTGGTTGTCAAAATTATGGTCCGTTTTGGGGTCCCTAGTATAATACGGCACCTATTATTCAGGATCCAGTTCCCCAGTTTGGCCTTAATGTTGCGGCTATTCAGGTGCACCGTCAAAGTATGTAGAATGTTGGCCCTTTATAGGTATTGGGCCATTATTTTACCTTCTTTTTTTTTTTTTGGAGGGGGGGGGGTTAGGTATAAGCCCCAAGCTTTCCAGATGCCAGATGCCAGTCCCCTAATATGGGTTGTAATTATAGTTACCTTACTTATAACCCCACTTATAACTACCCATGAAGCCCCAAGCAAGCCAGCCTAGATGGCAGAAAGCCTGAAGCCTGTTGCCTCATAGGCAGCCAACCTGCCGAGCCTGCTGGTGAAGATCCTATGCTGCAAGTAGGGCTGACGGACCTTACCCTTGTTAGGGACTTATATAAAGAAATCATGAAAGGGAACCTTAAAAATAGAGGTTTATACGGTCCCTTACGTTTTTAATGGCTTATATCTTGAAATGCCCGTGGAATGCTTAACATGCACTGACGGACGGTAAAGCAGGGACAGGCTATATGGAGGATACGGTCATGTCCAAATGAGGGTGATGGTTGGGTTCAATCCTGTGTAAGATGTAGAGACGGTGTAGGTCTGGGTTGTGTAAAGTTGGGTCACGGCTTGGTTCAAGGATGTCTAAATTCGGGTGACGGCTTGGTTCAAAGATGTTTAATTTCGGGTGACGGCTTGGTTCAGCGATATCTAAATTTGGGGGATGGCTTGGTTCAGCAAGGTTTATGTTGCTATATTACATAGTTACATAGTCATGTAGCCATATAGATAATTGTAGATATATATATATATATATTTATAACTTATATTTTAATTATAAATAACTGTCTATAACTAAATATGTCCAACCTATAGCCTATAGCCCATAACTTATGTACCGTACTTAGTCCAAATTATAAATTATAAAATCTAAAGTATTATTTATAGATTTTAGAATAAAATACAAAAATTAAAAATTATTGTAAATTATAATTTATAAACTAAAGACTACAGACTATAAATGATAAATTATTATAAATTATAAACACGTATTTTTAAAGCTTGCAGACCACACAAACACGCAAAGGAGGTGCTGGGGAGGCGGGGGAGGGGGCAGGGGGGTTCAGGGCGGGCGGGGTGAGGGGGCAGAGGGGGAGGGGAGGGAGGGTGAGGGGGGGGGTGTGCCGATACACCCCCAAGGGATACTCCTTGTGAGGAGGTGTATGACCAGTTATTCCCTAAGGATCAAAGGGCAGCGCCCTGCACACGGACAGTAGTTGTTTTGTCTTGCTACGCAAGGAGAGCTTGTCTTGTCTCAATATGGTAAAACCACTGTGAGCCAATGGGCAGCGGAATGTATATGTATGAGCATGCAGCCATTGCTGTAGGTACCTGTTAGAGCTACCCCTTTAGAGGTTTATGGTTTCAAACAGACACTAATTTTCTTTTACCGGAAGCATGGCCGCACATTCACACATATACTGTTATGCCCACTGTCACAGTTGCGGAGTTTGGACTCATGATAAAAACAGCATATTATTTATGCTAGGTATAGCACTGAAGTACACTGCTGAGGACACTCCACTCATTTTGCACACACACTCATGCATATTGGTCAGAGAGATCATCTGTACAAGATCAGGTCTGGTAATGTTCTACTACCGAATTATGCAGCCCTTCATTGTGCTCTTGTTAGAGCCTTGTGATTCACTGTTGTGAAACTCTGAGAATTTTCTTATCTCAGATTCGGATCCAGGTTTGGATCATAGGCTCGAGCGTAGACATTCGGATGTGGCTCATCCGGGTCTGAGTGGTCTTCTTCGGAACTTGAAAAGATTCCGAGTAATCTGTTCTCAGCCCTGGTGAAGGCGGCATCTGCAGTATCATATCCATGGTTGGATGTTGTCGCCTTTGGCTCGGCCTTTGGAGCAGCTTGTGAGCTGACTGGAGTTGCCTTGGCTTTTGCCGGTTGCGGCTGCTTAGCCTTTGCCCGTTCAGCCCTTCTTCTTTCAAGCTGTCCGTCTGAGGACGCCCATGATCTTTCACTTTCATCTCCTGAAGGAGATAAGGCGTGGGCATAAAGGCTATTCCAGTACTGTGGTGCAGAAGGAGTTAGGACTTCTTCATTGTCAGATTCTGATTGGTCTTCCTCAGAGCTTTGGTCGTCAAAGAGTGTCTCGAGGACATTTTTGAGATTGTTATTTCTTCGCTCTATCTCTAGTGAGGAATGGACCAATTGGTTAAAGACTGTCCTTGAGTCCTTCAGTGCTGTTAGAAGGATTTCCACTCTGGATAGAGTATCTTGGATGGTGTCAAGATGTTCTTTTCTTTCCTCCTTGTCTCTCTGGATAGAGCCTCGCAATGCTTGTGCGATTCTGAGGAGGTCTGTGTATTTCGCAAGAGGCATAGTTACCGTTTGATTGTCATGTATGACAGTTGTTTCGTCGCCGCTTAGGTTCCTGAATAGGACTTCCACGACTGGTAGGAACTCCGTGCTCCACGGTTCCTCTTCATCATATGTTTCTACGTGCTGTAGCACGCGTTGTGTAAACTGGCCGGCTGCTTCTACCGTTGCATCGATAGAGCTGACGTGTCTTGCTACTATGTTTCGGCACGTAACGTTAATTGCCTGGCCTTGATTGGCTTCGTCAAGTGCAGCGTCTGCATAGGTGCAGAGTCCACTGTTGTGGGCTTCTCTGGCTGCCTTTCGTTGAATACGCCGATTTTGACCTCCTCTTCTGGTAGGACCTTTTTGTCTCGGAGGAGCAGAAGGTACTGTTCCTTTCGCCTTTGGCGGAGGACTCTTAGGTGGAGGTGATATGTTTGCCTTGTTAGGCCCTGTTGGCATTGCCTTGGGCGCTGATGACGATGCGGCACTTGAGAGTGCAGATGTACCTCTGGCTTTTGCCGAGGATCCCTTGGGGATCGATGTATAGGTAATCTGCATGGCTTCTTCGGCCATCTGTGCATGCAAGGCATCCTTGAACAGTTGTGTCATGTGAGGAGTGTTACTTGCATCATCGTAGGTCTGGAAGCGCTCAATGTCTCTTTCGGTGCCACGTGATCGTGTATCACCTCTTTGGAAAGGATCGTTTCTGCGAATCTCCGCAACTTGTACTGCATGGAGGCAGTTTTTGCACAGCACCTTCTTGCAAACATCTCTTGCTTGCTTGAGCTGATAACAGCTGTCTGAGAGATGGTAGACTTCGCTTCGGGAAGTATGCCAGATAGGTCGCAGATCAGTTGTTTCTCCGGAATTGACCCTGTTGGGTCCTAAAGGTTCACGCGTCTGCGGTTCATCCTCGGGTTCGAGGAATGGAACTCTTTGGTTCGCTGCTGCTTTTGATTTTGGTTGTTGGCGCTCCATACATCTGATAGGAGGCCTGGTAATCTGCTTCCACATCCAGTGTAAGCCCATTAACAGCAGGAACACATTCCACGCAATGCTGAAGACGGAGAAGTCTTGCTCACTGGTTAGTGAGTCTGGAAGTGAAGTTTCATCAGTCTTGGTAGACTCTGCGTTTGCTCCACCTCGATTGCGGTGTCCGAACCAGCCCGACAACCCCGCGGCTGTAGCAGCTGTTCTGAGTGCCTTGCCGCTCGGAGCAGACGGTGGACGCGATGCCTTCCTTCTTCTTCTCCGGCTGGAGGATTCGTCCTCTTGTTCCTCTTCATCTCTCTGAGCAGACATCAAGTTTGATGTTTCTCTTTCGTGTTCTTCGATGTCACTTTTTGTTGGTGACGGTTCTTCTTCTAGTCCATCCAGCTCTTCCAAAGACATGTTGAGCTTGTCAACAATATTGGTTCTTTGAGGCCTGGACCTTGATCTTGGTAGATCTTGTTGTGAAGAGGACGATGATTCCTGGTTCCTTCTTGGAGGAGGACCTTCAGGCTCGCTGGGACGTTCAGGCTGTGGCCACTCCCAGAATCTTCCATATCTGTGATGGCTACCTGATGGTTGCGATTTGTCGTACCAGCTGTTGCCGGATGAGTAAACGAATGAATCGTTGTAACCCCAGTATTCAGCATTACGCTGCTTGTAAGCCTTTCGCTTGTCAGCGATCTTTTGGACCTGGGCATCTGACCGGTTGTGTTTCCCTTTTGTAAGGATTGGTTGTATCGTGAAGCCCAAAGGGCTGTGCCAATCTTTGTCAGTGGGACTCAACCATAGGTCAAGGTTAGAAAAAGTTGAATAGTACTGCTTGACTGATACAAACAGACGGATATCAATATCCCTGTTGTTGTTCGTGTCCTGCCACATATCTGAGATTCGTTCCCAGTATGTTCTTTCGGCGGCAGGTGTGACCTCTCTTGGACTAGGTGACGCCGTGTGCGGCGTTTTACTCCAGTCAAGGATATAACTGTTGATACAGTCAAGGTCAGCAACTTTCTTCGCCGGGTCCGCCGGTAGACGATCTGCACGTGCCAGTCTGTGCTGGTCGGAGTTGTTCAAGCAAAGATGTCGCACTTGTGAGTGCCTTCCTGCTATTTTGTTGAATGCTGCAAGTTTCTTCTCCAGGTATAGAGAAAACAAACTGTTTCGCGGGTGAACGTCTCCACCTTTTAAGGTGAGCCTCGACGCAATATTATTGAGATCTCCCGCTATTACATCCGGTTTAAAAGGGAGAACCTCGTTGAGGAACGCGTTCACCAGTTCGCGTCTCTGTTCTTCCTTATGAGTCATGAACGAGTTGAAATGGACGATCGCGATGGTGATGACCTTGTAAGGCCCTTTTGTACACCACATCTCGTCAAGATCGTTCGATGCTTCTTGTGAGAAGATCTCTGCGTATGACTCAAAGTCTTCCTCTGGTGGCTCATCACCCTCGACATGGCCGTTCCATTCACAGAGAATCGGCGAGGGGTCGAGGTTCGACAGTGTCAGGCACGCCTCTGGTGAGAGGTAAGAGCCATCAGTGGGTCCATCCTTGTCAGGATTTTTGCCCTTGAGTGGGTCATATCCGATAATCTGCATGAACTCGTCTCTCGTCATCCTTTGGCCAGAATATGGGTGGACCCATTCTTTTGCCTCTGGTATGGTACTGTGGTACCCAAAGGTGAGGCGGCACACCGCACCGTGGCATGCCCACAGTCGCTTCTTGGGACCACCATTCTTAGGCTTCATTGTTCGATGACGGTAAAAGTGGTGGACGAGAGCGATGTCTGTTGTTGGGTCACCCTTGACTCCAATATACATCGAGGGTGCCTCAGGCTCCTTGGGAGGAGAATGGATTAGCATCCCCCTGTATTCATGTTGTCGCATGGTTGCGATTGAATACTCTGACGCAAGTGCTCCTGCCTCGAGTACGAGGGTAATATGAGCTGAATTGTTGAAGCACATG